TGTCAATATTTATATTCGATGGGTAGTTGAACTAATAAAAGAAGAGATGTAAAAGATTTAGAAATCGATACATCTCTTTTTTTTTTTCTACTTCAGTCCTAAATGAGTTTCTATGAAGAAGAAAACATAATGAAAAGCATACCCATGATGGTTAAGAATAAGATAGAAATGAATAAGATTTTAATATGAAAATGTAATAATTTATATTCTTCTGTTGTTCGTGTCTATTTGTGGATTGCACATAATAGAATAGTTCACATATATTTGATAAAAACATATTATAGTTTAAAAAGTCTTTAAATCATAAAAATAAAAATAAATAATGGCTCTTTTTACCACAAACTACTGACTTGTTGTTGTCAAATAAAACAATTTCGGATTCTCACATTTTTTTGTCAAATACTCTCAATAATATACATTTTATGGCTTGTTCTCATTTAAATTTCTTAATGAAATGATTTTGTAATCTCTTTGATAATTTAAAACAATTTTATGACTTTGCCTTTAGTTTCGTGACTTTTCAAGTGTTTATAAAAGTCATCTTTTTACACATAGGATCGGTTACAATCTATGTAATGATGAATCTATTTTTATAGAAAAAACATTTTCCTATTTTATTCTGGACAATAAATTATACGCCATCCTTATTGATGAAACTAGAAAAATATTGTCATTTTATCTAAAACATATATTTGACTAAAAACTAATGATGACAGATTATTTTTATATGACAAATCTAAGTTTTTGCAAGATTGAATTTTTCTAGTTAAAGTCTGACACTTGGATTAAATTAGAAAAATGTTAATGGTAAAATTTTATACAAAGTTTCATGAAAGTCAGAAAATGAAATAATCATAATTATAGATATGTTCTATTTGCTTTTGTAGTATATTGATTAGTATCAAGGTCATATCGAGCAATAAAAAAAAGAAATGTTTTCTACTTATACACAAAGAAATCATTGTCATCTTAAAAGATGAATCTACATTCTTTTTTATCTTGAATTTCTCATATAGTTCCATTGTTTATTAGATAAAAAGAAAAGACAGACAATTATTATTAGCAATAGAGAACCGATATTGAAGATTTCCAGATATTTTATATGATTAAAGTTATACTAGATAGACATTTTGATATATGTTTTAAATTATTGTCCATATTTTTATATTTGACATGCTTATTATCTTCGCCAAATAAAATTCTTTGCTAATAGCGAGGATACATTTATTTTATTAATACGATATTCAACAGAGTTTTATTCTCATGAAAAATTCTTGAAATACAACTCACAGATCGCAATAACGCTTCATTCAGTTTTCGAGTATGACATAGCGAAAAACAACAATAATAATAATTTATGTATAATATTTTATTGTAGAAACTTTAAAGTGGAAGCAGATATTTTAGTCTATAAATCGAGTTAAAAAATAAACTTTTTCAAATGTTCAATGAATATTGATCATTTTTTACTTATATGAAATATAGAAATTCAATTGTTTTTATATGATTAATTTTCGAGAGATAATGAATATGGTCAGCGGCGAGAGAAAATGTAAGAGGAGAAGAGAGAGTATTTTTCAAAATCGTGGAAAAGTGTGGTCCAACACATTAGCGTTCAACAGCAGCCGATACAAGGTAGACACGATGACAATCTTTCTGCAGTGTAAAATGTGAAAAAAGTTTATCACTTTCGACCGACTTTTAGTTAAAAATCAAACTTCGAGACAAGTTCATAAATTCATACAGAACTCAAAAAAACATTTCCTGCATGTCAAACATTTGCGTAGGCTTCTAAAAAGTCTGTCGTCTCTTGCAGATTTTTCTGATAGAAATACTTTCTCATTCACGATAGAAAGTTTCTCAATCTTTTTCGCCGTCGAAGGCGTCCGTGCTTCTGACAACTGTCTACAAAGGCAATTGCTACCCAGTTTCATTGCAAACTCAAGCTCACACTGATTTTTCAAAAAAACTGATAAACCTATTTTGCTGTTGAAGACGGCAGAGATTTTTTTGCAGCTGAAAGTTTTAGGCATCGAATAAGTCATTCGGTCACTTCTGCTTTTGCCACAGCATTTTCAAAACCTTTTCAATTTTACTTATTGTCAATAAGGGTAAAAAAACTAGCGCGATCACTTGAGAAGTTAGACTGAATAATTCCGAGCTCTATCACCTGAAAAACGTTTGATACTTTAAAAAATTCACCATCTGTCGTAGAAAGTATGGGTGTGGATCTGAGTGATATCAGTTTGGGTGTGAACGCGTGTCTGATGTTCAATTTGGTTTGTATTGATTTGAGTGTGAATGTAAACGTAGATATGAGTGTGAGCAGAGCGAGGGAAGAGAAGATCTTTATCTTCATATACATCTATATCCAGACAGAGTTGTCACAGGATAAGTACGATAGATTAACTGGAAATATAAATATTTCTAATTTCAGATATCTGGCAACAATATCTTTTGAGCTTCGTTCACGCTTTCCTTGTGAAATGTCATACAACCTGCTGACAACGATACTCCTTCGTTTGATTCGTTTGATTCATTTATGATTTAAAGCATTCAGTAGAAGTATAAGTAACAAAGATAGACGCTTCAAAAGGCGCTATATGGTGAACAGTGATTTAGCTCTGACAGAAAAGACGGCAAACATTGTTAATTTTTGAGTTGATGTTTGGTAAAAACATTTGAATAGGTTTTTTCTTCTGATTTTGATGATTTTTTCTACAGTTTTTATTTAATATGAAGAGGAGAGATTCGCTCTTCATAGCCAGTAATAATATCAAAATTAAGATGTACACAACTGCCTAACATCTACAAATTTTTTCAGAGCATTATGAACGAGTACAATCATAGTGAACACTAGAAATATGTACTTCATACCTTTTGTTGGATATGAGAAGATATCTTGAGACTTGATTGAAAGACGAAACTTTGTATCAAATATTGTGGCAACTATCTCGAATGTTTGCTCTAGACAGAACCAACGGAGTGTCTTTTTCATGAATAGATTTTTCAAGTTGCAAGATCCGTTTGGTTTCTCTAAGTATCTGCTGAATAATCCTAAGTCGATTGAATTAATAATCAGTAGGTACGAATGCTTATTGCTATTAAAAATAGAATAGAAAACAAAATAAATAACTGTTTATTTATTTATAATTGAACGTTTTGGTAATAAATACTTTCATGAACCTCATTTGTTGAAGGTTAAGAAAATACTTTATGAAATGGAGCAAGATGGGAAGGGAAAAAATTAAGATAGGGATGATGCGAGGAATAAAATATAGCTTTCTGTTTCGTCTTCTAGTGTAGCCCTCTTGACATGTATCGATGATCAGGTTTGACATGTTTGTGTTGAGTTCATCACAGAAATTAATTACAAAATAATTCAAAATTTCTATGTGTTATAGAAGAGTATTATTTAAAGAATTTGCCAGGATCCATCAAGGCCTAGAAGAAACTACCGGAGATAAAGGACTACAAGGAACAAAGGAGTACGAGGGATTAGCGGGGATTACCAAGGATAACAAGGGACGACCAGCGATTACTAGACATTATAAGAGTGTACCAAGGTCTACCACTAGTGTACTGCCCATGATTTATTGTGACTGATCATTGTTGAATATTAAGTGTGTATCATAATTTCATGGTTTTTTCAAACCATATGGATTTCGTTGAATTGTGCCCTACCACTACAAAATGATTCGTCAGAAGCAATGTTATTATGCAGCGTGACACAGAAAATTTCTTCGTGATCACTAAGTCACGATAACTGCTGATCATGAGGATCATTAAGTGATTTTTTTTCATTTATGCAGCATGGCAATCCCAAGTTTGATAACTCGTTTTATAGCAGCAAGAAAACTGAACAAAATCCATATATTTTGAAAAGATGAGAATTTATTCTACATACTTAAAACTCAGAAATAGTCAGTCATGATAAATCACGATACAGCTTACTATCTATCACTGTTAACAAAAATAATAGTGTACCCACACCGACATCCACATTCATATCACTCCTCCCCCACACCCTCATGTTTTCGCAATCATTTTGTAATTCATATACGTCATTCAATGTTTTTTATCAGTACTCGTAGAAAGGAAAGGAGAAGGTGATATTTTCGATAAGAATACGGTTCTCTTCCTTTTTCTCTTCGCTCTTGAGCAACATAATAATGAGTCATATTGGTAAGAGAATGTAGAGCGTCATTTTTTTTCCACTCATATAATTGCCAATGCATTGAATCACTCAGCAAATACATTTAAACATTTGCGTTTCTATCAGCAAATTGAAGGTAAGGATATTTATTGTCGTCAATACAACAATGACACTTTGGATTTTTCCAACGAAGATAAATTTTTTCAACGAAACTTCATTGTTCTCAGAAAACTATGTAGTGAGATTCGCTGCCATAATGTACACAAAATATTATTCAGCAGCTCTTATTATCGATATTTAAAAGACGAATCGTCGTCATCTAGAGTGTAAGAAGTTTCTTAAAATGAAATTTGATTTAGGAATTATTATTAAAGTTAATAGTAGAGCAACCTATTGGATTTGGTAAATTGCATGTCAAAGACGCTACTGATGTTTTCGATCGTTGCTGAAAAAAAAACGCTTTGTTTTCAACCATAGTGGAAAAGGTCATAATAGCAATTCTGATTTTCAGTTTGGCAAATTTCGACTATTGATGTCATCACAATGTTCTGTGGATGGCTTTTCGTCAATTTAAAAAACAAACAAATAGAAAAACAAATGCCAAATGATAATAAGGGTCTTATATTCAAGCGTCCACTCACATTCGATATCGGAAAGAAAATCGAAGAGCTATTGAAACTACATTACCTAGTGTTATAGGCCAATAGAAGTGGCAGATGTGAATGGGCTGATTTATCAGTGTATGAGCGAAGATAAGGCTATTACCGTCTCACTTCCTCTATCCTATGCTGAAGAGAACAGTTAACTTCGTCTTTTTGCTTCAGATCATTATCTAATAATCGTTATGGCATTTACTCAACGTCTTACGATTCATTATCGTGAAATACAGAAGAATCCGCCTCCATTATGTTATGCAGAACCTGAAGATCCTGATAAAAGCATGATTCATTGGATTGGTTGGATCGAAGGGCCACAAGATACACCATATGCTGGTGGCAAATTTCGTTTGATTATCGATTTTCCTGTAGACTTTCCATTCAAACCACCTAAGATACATTTTATCACACCAGTTTTTCATCCAAATATCAGTATAAACGGTGAAATCTGTTTGGATATACTTCATTCACAATGGTCTCCAGCGTTAACTATACGTGGTCTTTTAATATCATTGTGTTCGCTATTGACAGATCCAAATCCAGAACATGGACTTAATAAAGATGCACTGAAATTCTATCGAACGGATCAGAAAAGATACAACGACACAGCGAAAGAATGGACACAGAAATATGCTACGGAGAATAATAATTAAAAGACTTGATATTTACTTAGGATATAGAAACAAATCTTCATAGAAATTATTTCATTTATCCCTAGTATTTATCATATCTGCAATTAATGAAATTCTTTTTTTATTTTCATTCCACCAGTTGACTTAAAATTGCTTGGTGCATGATAAAGAGAACTCGCTGTTGAATGCATACGAGCAGAGGAAAGAAAAAAGGAATAGTTTCATTATTATGCAAACCTTGCATATTTATCAATTAACTAATAATAAATTATTTTCTCTTGTTTATGAACAAGTAACGCTCGTCGGCAGGACTCGCTCAACCCTCGACTGAATTCAATCTTGTAATCATCTATTATCGTTTTCAGAGTTCTGCTTTGAGAATTTTTGTTTAACACATGCTCAGACGAAAATCTGTCTATAGTATTGTTTGTGATAGCCATTTTGTGAAAGGATCGGACCTTTCTATTTTCTATTCTGACGTTCTAAGATTTACTTAAGCGAACAGCTCGCAGTCGATTCTCACGATTGAATTAAATCCATGCCCCAATCCTCTCAGACCGTAGTCCGACGATGTTTTTCTCCCTCTGAAATTTTCAATTTTGTCTAGAACCATTTCTATTTCCGGATCCTATTTATATTTCTGTCTTGAGTATGTATTCATCGCTCGAAGGAGAATTCAACTGAATATACTGTAAAATCTGTATTCAGTTGGAACCGCTTCGTCACTGAAACGCCATAAACGGTTGCAAAGTATCCTACATCTTCTACTGACCATCTCTTAACACAGCATTAAAAGAAAACCATCCGAGAAAATCTGCCGGTCTGTAGAGACCGGTTTTTCACCAATTTACAACGTTGTAAACGTTTCCTTTTGTTCATTTTTGTTCAAAAAAAAATGAAGATTCTACCTATTTTTCGAACTGTATAGGATATATCAAACTCAATCCATAAGTCTTTAGTCATGATTAAAAAGAATTCTGATGGTGTTAAACATTAATCAGACATTATAATAATCCACACGACTAAGTAAGAGATTGTAAGCCAGTGACTCAGGCGTGTCGTTTCATTGTAGCGTCAAAACACATCTCACTAGCAAAAGACCGCTACAGAAGCTTTGGTTTTCTTCATAAAAGATCAGTGTTTACATAGTTCGTACCATTGCTGTACCATTGTATATCTTGCGATTTTCATTTCAAGTAGACAGTTTGTTTCTTATACTATTGTAGATCTGACACAGACTCTAACCATACAGAAAAATACTCAGTATTTCTAATTTAAGATAGAAAATGACCTGGAAGCGGTTATTAACTGTTATTTTGTATAGATTTCGTATTGAAAATGAACGTAGAAGAAAGTTGATATTGTCTGTGTATTTCAGTTATCCTAAATTCGATTTTCACAATGATCACTCTTTGCGTTAAACCACTCAAAAATTTGTTCTTTCACGCGCACGAGCACAGCATTAATAAAAATACTCAGATTCTTTTTCTACGAGATGCGCTTATGAGATACTGTGCGTCTAGACAAAAATTATTTCCGAGACTTATTTTTGAAAAAAAAAGAATTCAGTTTTCTGTCGTTCTCGGACCCTAATCCATCCGAGCAGACTGATTCGATAGAAAATTTTTCTATTTATTCTAGTAGCTTGAAACCTTCTTTCCAGCAACTTTTGAAACAAGCGACCAGTCGTTTGTCGGCTCGCCATCGGGGTGCCACTCACGACTAGCCGCTCACAGGCTTAAATCTCCCTCCTAAAAATTCATCTACCTTTTTCAACAATACAGACAATTCAGTACCTACTATTTTTGTATTTATACATAGACGACTTCTCGAGAGGAAATTTCAAACACAACATTTTGCTGTGAAGTATTATGTCTTGAGTTTTAGGGCCTTACTCGAACATCAGCGTTATTCTATAATTCTTCATGAACGAAATCTAATTGGGATCTACTCAAGAAGCTTGCTAGATCTTATACGGCTGTTTTTCAAAACATATCTGCAAGTAACCTTTTCGACGAGCGGCTAGTCGTTTGTCGCCGCTCCTCCGGGGCATCACTCACAGTTAGCCGCTCAGTTGTTTAATTCTTCTTCTCCAATGGATCGCATACTTTCATTTACAATCCAACCGATACATTTTTGTCTTGCTGCTAAAAATTCTTCGACAAATAGCGCCAGACTTCTCAAAGGAAAATTTAATACACTAGGGTAGCTGTTCAACTATCTAGGGAAAGAGTGTCCTGCAGCGACGCCCATGAAATATGATCGTGGAGACGCAACTGATTGCTTAGAACAAGGAAGCTAACTCATTTTTCTATGTCATCCTTCCTTCAGTACAGAGAACAAGAAAACTACTTTAATACGTAGAAATAAATTAAACGATATTTTTCGCAAAAAAAAATGTCAGATGATTTCCTTTCTTAGCACAACTGCTTCGTAGACTTCAATTGGAACACAACTTTTTCCAGTTTGCGCCACTCGGACATTGTTTTAATCGATCGAATCCATTCAGTAGAGGATTTTTTTATGAATCACAATCGTCTTAAGCGTTCAATCGTTCAACTCTTCACGTGAATGGCTAGTCGTTCGTCAGCACCACTCACGACTAACCGGTTACGTGCTTAAGTCTATTTCACCAATGATCACCCGCTTTTTCTACAATCTAGCCGATTCAGATTCGGCTTATTTCGATACATTGTTGGATTTATATGAGAAGATTTTATCGTGAAGTATTCCTTATTTGCAGAATTCGAGCTCTCTCGCCACAATCACCGTTATATTGCCATTCTTATTCGACGGAATCTTAGTGAGATATTCTCAAAACATATACTATATTCTGTACACATCTTTCCTGCCACACATTTGCAGTGACACGTGGATATCAACAGCTACACGTTCGTCGGCGCCCCTTCGGGACGCCACTCACGGCTAGCCGCTCCCATGCTAAACCTACTCCTATACACATTATCCCCTTTTATCTACAATCGGTCCAAATAGTTCTTTCCCTCCTTTCACAGAAAATATTGGATTATTAATGACAGGACTCTTGCTTGGAAATTGAAAAAACTAAAGCTAACATGAAGCTGTGCACGAATAAAATACGCTATATGAACGCTTCTGACATATCAGCGCGGACATGGGATTGATTGCTCATCCTTAACGAAGCAAAACTCAACACAGAAGAAACATGACAAGTGACTTCATATACCTAGCTCACTTCTAGGCATGAAACCTTCGATTGAATCAAAGTTATTTTTGAAAAAAATCCATTGTTGCCTATAAATTCGGTATCGAAAACTGCTAAGACGAAACACAAACACCAAAAAACGCTTATAAGCTGATATTTCAACCACAGAAAAAAGGATTGGGCGACACCATGATACGCTAAACACCTGAATACTGAAGAGCCAAAGAAGAAAATATCACCGGAACGACACTCTCATAACCAAAATATCTGTTTTGTTAAACTCGAAGCAAGAGAAACTTTATTGAACGGAACAAACTTAGAGGAATATTTGCTTAGCTGAAATCCCAGCATCGAGAAACGTCATTGAATAAGAAATAACTAAGAAAAAGTGTACTTAGCTCACAATAGCGTTGACATCATAGGCTTTATCCATAGTTTACCCGGCGTTCCAGGAATATATCGGAGCATCTGATAGCATGCAAACGCAGACACACTTATTTAACTATTTCCATATGCCACTAACTTCACTAAACTGAATTTATAATTGGTTTCAATTACACTTAACTGCTCTTAACTATCCTTAACTACCCTTAACTAATCCAAGCCAAGCTTAACTAGCATTAACTGTCTTAACTAAAAGTTTGGGATTTTCAAAACCGATAACGAATTTGCATTCCTGGCCCCTGATAACCTCTGTCAAAGCTCCACTAAAACGCGCAAAAAGTCCTACAATAAAAAAGCTAGCTTTTCATTGGCTCAGTTTCGAACCAATGGAAGCTCGGTCAAAGAACACGACTTCGGATTCGGATTCCGGGCCATGGATAACCTATAGTAAAGTTCAATCAAAACGTCGAAAGCCTTAAAATCAAAAAAAGCCCGTTTCTGATTGGCCGGTTGCTGACCAATGAAAGCTCGACCAACAAAAAGAATTTCGAATTCGGATTCCGGGCTCTCGATAACCTATAGCAAAGTTGCGTCAAAACGGCGAAAAGTCTTAAAATAAAAAGCTCTTTTCTGATTGGCCGGTTCCTGGCGAATGAAAGCTTGGCCAACAAAAAGGATTTCGGATTCGGATTCCGGGCCATCGATAACCTATAGCAAAGTTCAATCAAAACTGCGAAAAGTCTTAGAATAAAAAAGGTCGCTTCTGATTGGCCGGTTGCTGACCAATGAAAGCTCGGCCAAAAAAAAGGATTTCGGATTCGGATTCCGGGCCCTCGGTAACTTACAGCAAAGTTCCGTCAAAACGGCGAAAAGTCTTAAAATAAAAAATCTCGTTTCTGATTGGCCGGTTCCTGACCAATGAAAGCTCCGCCAACAAAAAGGATTTCGGATTCGGATTCCGGGCCATGGATAACCTATAGTAAAGTTCAAT